AGGTGGAGGGTCAGAGAAAAAGAGGAAGACCCCCAGTGAGATGGATTGGCCAGGTGGCAGCATTGATGGACTCAAGTATGACATCAATAGTGAGATTGGCCCAGGATCAGACATTGTTTCATTCTGCTGTGCATAAGGTCACTATGAGTTGGTTCCAAATCAATGGAACCTAACAACAACAACATAAGGAAGACCAGGTAATACTACTGTTATTCAAATTTATGCACCAATCACTAAAGCAAATGATAATGAAATTGAAGAATTCTACCAACTTCTTCAGTTGAAATTGGTCAAACAGGTAATCAAGATATATTGAGAATAAAAAAGATGTATTGATAAGTACTGGTGATTGGAATGCAAATGGAAACAAAAATGAAGGATCTGTAATTGCAAAATATTGGTGATAGAAATGATGCAGAGGCAGCAGAAGTAGACTCAGGCATAACAACAATTGTGAGGATGATGCAGGACCAGGCAGTGCTTCATTCTGTTATGCACAGGGTACCTATGAGTAGGAACCAACTTGACACCACCTAACAACAACAAAACCTCCTAGCCAGTGAATTAGTTTCCCTTCCCTCCATTTACAATGTGCCATTTTACATAGCTTTTCATAGCCTTTCTCTCTAGCCTCCTGGCTACTGTTGTCCCCATACACTCAAAAGAACTGGGATACGATTTTCTCCACTTTAATTACACTCTTCATTCCATGTTGTACTGTGCTGAGTTGAAACATTTTGGGTTCAAATACAATTATATAAATAAGGAAAACTGAAAAAGTTAGTTATTTCAGACCAACCCAAGTTATTCTTTTATTTGGGGGTCTTGCTACCTTCCAGGGTTCCTCTATTTTTAAAATAAGAATTTATTCCCAATCCCACAGTTTTTAACATAGCAGTGTTTCTAGAACTTTAGCGTATGCCAGCCTTACTTGCAATACTTGTTAAAAATATGAATTCCTGGGTTGCACTGGAAATCTACTGTAAGATTCATAGTGTAAGGATCATAGTTTGTAATATCACATTTGTCTGGCTTAAGAGATAGGAAGCTTTGGATGAGAACTGCTCTCCCCATCATTCTTCCTATTTATTGCTGGAGAGTAACCAACTGCATGGATTAAACTGTGCAGGGAGTGATAGGTATAAAGTGAAAGGTAAAAGCTTGGGATACCTGATAAAAGATCAGTTTGGATAGCCCAGGATGCATGGGGAAGTAAATTTCAGGACAAACTCAGGAAGGCTGAGATGAACTTGGGCTTACACGACTTCAAATTGTAAGTGTGATTTAAAAGCTTACAAAGCTCTGAAATATTTTATCTTAATTTATTTGTAAAGGACAGAGCTAAAACTAATAGAGATCAAAGAAGGAAGAATTACTTTAAAATCATTCACTTACTCAAGATACCAGCAAACCAGACCAAATCCATTCTAATTAACATTGTGAGCATGTGAAAGAATTGCTACAACTGAGGAAAAGATCTTCATACCATTAAACTGCCATACCACCTATCAGTTGTCCCCAAATCCTCTGTCATGTTTAATGAAGAGATCAGTGATGGTTGATTGGAAGGTTCTATTCATTCAGCAACGGCAACAAGTCTTGTACACATGCTGAATGGGCGGGAGCACGTAACTGCTCTGCTTATCATCATGAGCAAACCGAAAGATCACATATCTTCATTATTTCCCACCCATTATTTCCCACTTCTCTGATTTGCATAGCCCCTTCCTAAATGCCTTGACGTCACCCCCACCCTGTTAGGTCTCTTTCTAACATAAAAGATTCCTACAAGAGTCTATCAGATTCCACAGCTCACCCCTAGTGGCTGCCTTCTTTCCTGGACAATCT